GTCACAGCCGGAAACTGAACGATTATGTTGTTTCTGCTGATTCTACGTTTTGTTAAATTTTCCTTTTATAATGTTTCTATTTTACAAATAAACCTAAAATATTATGAATTGATTTAACATTTGCAGTAAAAAAAAACTCTGTGGGTTTTTCAGGTTTAGATTTTGAACTTTTATATTTAATACAAAAAGTTTTTCTGTGGGGAATTTGTTTTTTATTTTATTCCATTTTGTTGTGAATTTCACTCATAAAAACACATTTTTCTAGTTTAGTATGAAACTATGTCAGGGATAAAACTGTTTTTTGGAAAAATGCACATTAAAAAAATTAAATAGAATAATTTGAACAGTCCAGGTAGCTGATGAGGTTTGGAGATTATTTTCTTCATGGTTCCCACTTAACAAGTTTGAATAAAATCTGGAGAGTAAAAAAATCTTCACTTGGCATCAACTTCTTCAGGGATGTGAAAAACCTCCAATCAAAGAGGCGACAGATTATTTCCTCATTCTGGTCATTTTGTTTCTGTTGTGTTTCCAAACACAAAGTCTCTTTATTCCCTATAAAAAGCTATTTTAGCCTAAGGGCTCCAAAACGTTTAGTTTCAAAATAAAAGCATGTTTTAAAATATTGAAATTCTTATGAATGCAAATTAGCATATTATTGTTCAAAGATTCAGAAATCTGCTAAACGTGGTTCATCTCTTTTTTATAATAGTGCTTGTAGTGGTTTTACAAACCAAAGCAATAAAGATAAATCTGTTTACATTTCCACGCCCACAAGCTGAAGGCAAACCTGCAGCTTTGCGCTGCAAAGATTTCCAGCAGCTGCCAGGTGTCTTTTACTGAAAATGGATTGCGGCTAACCTGAAGCTGTGACTAAAAGCATGCTGCAAGTCACGAAGACCCCCCTTCACAGGCTGCCTTAAAGGTCAGAGGTAAACCACCGCCCCAGCTGCGACGGGGCCGTCCGGCCCAGGAAGTAGACGCTGCCGGCGAGCGACGCCTTCGAAGCCGCAGCTCATTTCCTGTTCCCCATCCTGAGACCACAACTGTAGTCAGAGCTTCACTTTTTGTGATGTCAGGTGGAAACAAGTGAGTAGAAGCAGGTGGGCTTATGAAGATGAATATCAGAATAAAGTGATTAATGCAGCGGCAAAGATTCGGTTACTACGGAAAACTGTTGGTGCCAAAAAAACCGCAAATGACCTAAAAGTGTATTTATCAGAAAAACTTTTATTTCATTATTTTAATTACAGATGCATGTTGTAGTGTTTTTATGGAAGCCCTGCAGAGCCAAAATCACATAATCCAAATGGGATACTCACTGGAATACTGATTGAGTAGATGCAAGTGGGTTTATGTTAATTTATGTCAGAAGAAAATTATTAAAGCAGCGCAGCATTTAGCATGTGTAGCTGTTAGTGCCAAAAATCTCAAAACGTAAATACGTCTTCTTAAGGGAGATAAGCATGTAATTATTAGTCAAAGTTTTATTTCATGCTGCATGTTGCTCCTAACAATGACAGAGACATGTAGCAGGGTTTCTATGGAAGTCTATTAGTCTCAAAGTCACAAAAATGCCCAAATGTTTAATCCAACTTGGGAATAAACACTGAGGAATGAATATATGCAATTGGGCTTAAGTTATTTGAATCGAAGAAGAAAATTATTAATGCAATGTAGCGTTCAGCTTTTAGAGATGTGTGACGGGAAGCTGTTAGTGCCAAAATCTCAAAATGACTCAAATGTGTAATTATTAGAAAGGATTTTATCACAAAAGGCATTAAGACACTCCTGCTCTAGCAGGAATTACTTGTCACTCCTGCTAGAGTGACGAGTCAAGCAGGAGTAACAAACTGAAAAACAACTGAAAAAAAGCTAAAAATTAGCTTTTCTTTTTCAGTTGTTTTAGCCCAAGTTATGTTGTTAGACAGGTGCTGCTTAAATGATATTTTTCATTCAGTCCTAGCATACCGAACCTGAACTTAAACAATGTGGATAATTAATTCATGATTCATCCAGGTTAGCTTGCGTAGTTTTTTCATCTTAATTCTAAGATTAGTTGTGCATTAAGTAGGATTAATAAAAAAATACTGATTTTATTTGATATTAAAAAATGTTTGTGGATCTTAAACATTGCAGCTGGACTAAATGCACAAACAATGACAAATTTTAAATTTTATTCTGTTTTTACAGCAAGGAGGATTTATTTTATTACATTTAGCTTTAAATAATACTAACAAATAAAAAAACGGAGATACTTTATTCTGGAATTGTTTTTATTATTTATGTTTGTAGGTAGTTAGCTGCTCAGTCAAAAATAGTTTTTATTTGAGGAAATAGATTTAATATTAGACATGTCAGCCATATTTGATGAATACAGGTTTAATTTAGCAACGATTCTGTGGAACCAGCGGATTCTCTAGAGTAACGAAACGCATCGATGACCAACGGTGTGAATAATTCCTCGTTTTGTTGCAAATAAAGAACTAGCAGAAAGCAGAACAGAAAGAGAAAGTGAACTTTCTCACTGCAGCAGCAGCAGCAGCTCCTCTTTCTCTACCTGTGTGTCCTCATGTACATCATTTCTTCCTGTGTCCAAATATGGAAGTCCAGCTCAACAGGAAATGCATCACCAACATGTCAGACACGCTGCTCTGCATGAAGCCTTTCCCAGAATTAATCGGTTAATTCTCTTTGTTAAAAAAAACATGATATTTTTTCCCTGCTGAGCTTCAAGACGTTCAGAAAGTTGCACGGAGACTTTGAAGACGAAAATCTTCCAGATTCGACCGTCTTTCCTCCCGCTCTCACCGCACTTCATTCAGGGTCGAAAATGAGAACACACTTCCTGTAAGCGTCTCGTGTTCTCGCCGTCGAACCTCACAGAGGAATTACCATAGCAACGACCAATAAATGGAGAACTATGGGATGCTTTTATAGACTTTTGTCTCCACTGGAATAAATAGCATAAGCGTCTTGGAGAAAATGACCATAAAGAATCAAAAAAAGTTTTTTTTAAGTGCTTATGTCTCCAAAAACTGAATAAATGTTCAAGTTTGGCTCAAAATTTAACTTGTTTTATCTTCAATATTTAAGTTTCTAAACCTTTCAGTCAAGTTTCACCTCTATTTACTGCAAATTCTCCAACATAAAATATTAAAACTGTTCAACTTGAAGCAATAAAAACATCCAATTTTAAGCTCATCATTGTGAAATGATTAGTTTAAATCTGACACAACAAACCAATCAGATGAGCCTGTTTTAAATTTGCTGCATTATGCGGTGAAATGGGACTAAATGAACATAAATGTCGACTTTAAGCTCCAAAACCTTCAGTTTAAAAGCAAAAGTCTGTTTTTTTTCCTGAACGGGGTTCTGTGTGGCGTTTATGAGCTGTAACTATCTTACCTCATGGTAGATAATCATCTCAGCAGAGATCAAAGTTTTACAGGAGTTCATTTAATGGCATCTTATTGACATTTAAAATGCTTCATTTTCCTGTCTGCAGAAATGCAAAGCAGCACCAAGTCACAGATAAACGGGGAGCAGATTTTAACTTTTAGATTTGATTGAACTGAATTGGAAAGATGTGAATTATGTTCATCTTCTAATTGTTAAACATAATTAAATTATCCTCCTGCTGTTGCCATCGTTAACCATTACAAATTAACTATAAACATGATAATGCGGCGGCTTAGTAACTGATTATTGTGACGATTAATTGGATAAAAATTGGCCCATTCTGCTAATCTTCATAAAACTACTAGAGCCGTTTTCATGCAATATTACAAAAACATGAGAAGATGCAAATAAACAACTTGATTCCTTTTTAAAATAGGAAAATAAACATTTTGTTGCCTAAAATGCAACAACAGGTCATTCCTTCAGTGAATGAATCATTTCTGCGTTCATCTGCAGCTAAATCAGTTCTTCTAACATCAACATGAGGAAAGATCAGCCTTTCAATACAGAACTGATCTGTTTATTATTCATTTATTAACGATTTAATAGCAGAAGATGCTAACAGAACATTTTATTTACATTATTTGAACCAGGTGAAGATAAAACTGTTCTGGTTGATTTACATTTTTTACTCATAAAAGCAAAATGTATTTATATTTTTACAGTTTTGGCTGAGTTACTGCTCTGAACGTGTTGTTCCTTCAGAGCCTGGACACTCCAGTTAGCAATTAATCAATTAATAAATTAGTTGACTATTATTTCAAGAATCGAATTAATCAGATTAATCGTTTCAATCCTGCAGGCAGAAGTTATTTTCTAGCATCAAACTGAAGATGCAGTTTTAGCTCCACCTTCAGATCCATCATTTCAATCATCTGTGATAAACAATCAGAAAAACTTAAAGATGCAAACAGAACATATCAAAATATGAACTTTGCCTTTAAGATTTCCATTTTCCTTGAATCCACCAAACATGAAGATACAAAAGTAAACAGCCCAGATCATGATACGTCCCGTTTTCTACCACTTCTCCTTCTGACTCTTTAATAAAGTCAACTTAACAGATAAAGCTTCATATTTGACCAGCTAACTGAGGCTTTACCTCAGCACACCGACTGACAGGAGCTAACTGGACATTTCATCTTTAACTTCACGTGTTCACCTTCTTTTCTCACATTCAGTCAAACTGTAGCATCATCGCTCTTAAATCCACCAACTTAAACTCTGATACGCCTGACAATAGTTTGAAAAGCTCTAGCTGCGTCTTTTGCAACCGGCTTGCATCAGTTCGGCCTCTGAACAGGCTGAGTAAATCTAATTCTGGACTGCAAGTGTTTTCGTTCTTCCACTGAAGTGAAGCTGCTGTCGTTTATGACTCGTTACCACAACCTTAAAGGTGCTACAATAGAAACGTTAGAAAAGGATTTCCTTTAATTTCCCACTTTCAATCCAGATATCCACCGACGTACCAAAGGATCAGTGACTGGCAAACGAAGTAAAGTTGTGCGGGAGGAAAAAACACGAAGAGCTCAACTCACAGGAATTCCCTTTCATCCTGAACACACATCCTTGTGCTCGGCTTGGAGCTCCGAGCAAACGACTTCTTCTTCCTCAGCGAAGGAGCGGACACGGCGGCGGACATGACTGGAGCCTCACGGGAAGAGGAGCAACCATACTTCTGAAAAAAAGCCCAGAGGAACGAGGGAGGACGGCCTGGTGGAGGGGTAGGGTCTCCGGTTCCAGAGCAGGCCAGTCGGTTCAGGTGGAAGGTGAGTAAATTAGTGGAGGATAAAAAAAGACCAGATGATGCGTCAGTTAGGAAGTCTGCAGTTAATCTGAACCGCGTTGACTCTCCAGCTGAGGTTTCCTGAAGGTGTCGAGGCCTCTGATTGGACGGCTGCGTTACTTCCTGCTTCCTCTGAGGAAGCATGCGATTGGCTGCCGGATGCCACCCATACACACACACACACACTTCCTTTTTACACACTCGGACAAGCAGGACCTGAAAAAAGACACCGGGGGAATTTCCATCCTCTCAGACTGGAACAATGAACAGATCACATATTTACAAAACGTAACAAAATACACGAGAACATGGGGAGGAAAATAATAAAACGCTTTCTGTTTGAGATTGACTGAAGTAAAGCCGATATGCTCCAGGCTGTGTGATAAACACATGGGTCTGATAAATAACAAAAACAGAAATTATATAATAAGACACAAACATTTTCACCAGAAAATGAAAGAAGCTCAAAGCTGGCAAGTTATTTACAACAAACAGGATAAAATTATAAATAAAAACACTTTTTAAAGTGTAGCTAAACCCAAAACATACTTTATCTACTCATATAAACTGACCCTTAAGGCGCCATCTTTACGTTTCTGTGCAAATTGTGACATTTTTGTGTAAATTTGTTTAAATTTGTGGTATTTTGGCTGAAACCATTTCAGTGCTGCCCTCTTTGGGTTGAACGGTGGTACTGCAGTTGAATTTTCATATTGATTACAGCTGAACAGTTTGGTTGACGTCAGCATTTCACTCAGACACACGCCCCCTGGTGGCGAGTCAGGAGATGGAATAACGAGCGCTGATTGATAGCTGATCGATAGCTGATCGATAGCTGATCGATAGCTGATCGATAGCTGATCTCACATTTACAACATGGACACAAAGTGGAACTGATAAAAGTCTAACCCTAAAACATAGAAAACGTCACCAGACGTGTCACTTCTTTAGTAAATAAAGTCACTACAGGCCTTTGAAGGTTGATAAATATCGCGACAGTCGGGCTTCTTTCCTCCTGACCTGCTTCAGACTGTTGAAGCTAATTGCATCTGCAGGGATCTGCCACTTTAAGAGGGAGGATCGGTGATGGCATCCAGAGTTTTACTGACTCACTGAGGAGCGTCAACAAGAGATAACAGAGACCACTGTGACATTTCATGTCCATAATAACGAGGTCTGCTGGTTCCTGCTGCAGCGGGTCTCACAGCATTTAAACCACCGAGCCTCTAAACCCGCAGCGCGTCCAGAGTGACTCAAAGCTGAAGCCTCCTTCAGGCTCAGTGACCAGGAAGCAGAACGCTGCGGCTCGCGCCTCATCTGATCAAAGACAGGTAACCCAGATCTGCAGCGGCGCGACCCGACCGCCATGTCAGGCTTCGCTTGTTCTGCCGTCTCAACTCAAACCACAGCAGTTTTATCACGGGTGTCTGCGGCGGTTTTACGTTCACACTGACTGTTTCAGCTTCGGTCAGTGCATGAAGCACAGCAGCCTGTGAATCTGCAGCCCAGTGACTAATTTATGAAAGCAGGCCTTCAGACACTCAGGAAATGCTGAGACACCAGCTGCTGTGGCGATTCCCGCCTACAGGGGGCGCCACGCAAACAAGAATCAGCCTCAATCACTCAGCCAAACAATAATAGATGCTGTCAAAACAAAAATGAAACCAAGTGGCGGCTGAACATGTTACTGTTCAGGCATCTGCAGAGCGAAAAGTATCAGATTAAAGAGAAACTTTGGGATAAAAATATAAAAGAAGTGAATTAAAGACCAGAATCTGGAGAGACATGACAAAACAAAACCGTAACTTTTAATATGAAAACGGTGGTAAAAGTAGATAAAAAGCCTGTTTTCATGTTGAAATTTGGGTAAGTCATGAAATTTATTGTTGAGCTGCATTTTTTAAATAAGCTAACAAGAATAAAGACGGCAGGAAGATGAAAGTGGCATCTTGTTTTGGACGGCAGCATCATTTTCTTCCTGAAAGACAAAATGATGCTGCAGGACGACCAAACTGCAGAGACGGACGAAACGCTAAGCTAATGTACAAGATGGCCGCTCAAAGTGTTCGCATGACGGAGCATCTCTGCTACCTTCCTTCTGATTTTATGTTTTTAAAAACATTCATTTGTCTGTTCCCTCTGGTTTCGGAGGCTGTGCGGATAAAAGGATTTTAGTTGATTATGATGCGTAACCATAGCAACAAAAGCAGCTGATTGACATCACTAAAGTTCAAATAATGAGTTTATCCAGAGCAGGAGCAACGAGAGCAGAGAGAGAAGGAGGAAGTCCAAAGCTTCTCCTCCATCGGTCATAACGGACATTAAGAGATCGTCAGCCAACGAGTCGGATAAAATTCATCATGACAATCTAAGACTATCGTCTCCAGTTTAGTTCCATATGTGGTACAAAGTAGATTTTGTTGCTGGGTGAAACTATCAGAACTGGGTCAGACATGTTGGATGTTGGTCACATGGGGTCAAAATAAATAAATAAAATCAGTTTTGTGTCTCATTTTCCTGCTGTGTGAATTTATTTGATGTTTCTGGTTTTGTTGCTGCTCCTCTTGAAAGGCGTCATGAAACACTGACTAATGAAATTTGTGGATTTTGAATAAACAGTAATGTGTCATCAGTGTAACTCAGATCTTTACATTGAAAACGACTTTTTCAGTTTGGTCTGAAATGTTTTAAAAATTGATCATGGCTCCTCATGTTCCTCTCCTGCAGCCAAATTACCACCAGTTTTCAGAAAAAGGTGTTTTATTTACTTATTTATCTTTACACACTTCAGCAAACTATGGAAGCCCATTTCTGCCATGAAATAAAAAGTAAAAGCTGAACAGGAAGTCATCATTTTGAGCCATGCTGCTCAGAGAAGCAGCTCAACCTCCCGTCTCATAATTAGGATGTTGAGATTCTAAATTATAACTTCCTGCTGGGCTTTTACTTTTTCTCTCATGGTGGAAATTTTAATCCTAAATAAAGAACAACAGGATCTCTGGAAAGGCCAACCTGAACGTGAAGGCTTGATTTATGCTGATGACGTTTAATTTTTACGTAAAAGCCCCAGATTTCGTACCAGTTGGTGTTTACAGTGCATAAATAATCCCTCTAAACTGAAACTGTTACCATTAAGGGAAATCTATTTTAGGAGCAACTGCATCGTCCATAAGCTAAGTTCAGTTAGCAAACATTTACCAACCAAAATAGTTTATATAATATTGTCATGAACTTCAATCTGGTCATCATCAGTTTAGCATTAGTTATATTTTTAATCCCTTCATTAATTTCCAGAGGTTGGCAACATTTTCATTATTCGTTTGTCCCGATGGTTTGAAGCAAAGTGAGAGGTCGTAATCTGAATCTAACCCGTTTTAGTTTGAATAACCAGCAGCAGAAACACATGCAGCCATAAAATCCTCTGCAGCTTTTATTACGTCTCGTTGCTCCGCATGAAGCAGGAGTTCAAACGCCGTTTATAGAGAAAATCTATAAAGTTTTTATCCTTTTCACCACAAGCATATCTATAAAAACATAAAAGAGCCGTCAAATATTTAGGTTCATTCAGCGAAGCCTTAAAACCGAGTCAAAGGAGGAAAAGGGGAAACTGGAAGTTCGGATTTGATAAAAACTTAGAAATATGTGAAAAATTCAAAACAAATCCATGTTTTAAAAGAAGTAAAAGTTAAAAATAACCAGAATTTAACCAGAATAAGACAAAGTTACTATCGTGTGAATTTTATGTTTTAGGTGCAATAAAATAAAATAAATGAGTCACTGAAGGATATGAAACAGAAAATAGGGAACATCAGATAAATAAGAAAAACTCCTGATTTTCCACACACAATCATTTTCAGACAGAAAATATTTAGTTTCCATCTGATTATGAATATTTGTCCTGTAACAAATACGGCAAGCAATACGAATTTATTCATTGTGTTTTGGATTAATTTGATTCAGAAAGAGAAGCCGGCCCACAGCATCACTAATTATCTCTGATTGTTTCCAGTTTTAATCTTTTTCCAGTTTGGTTGTAGATGTGGGAAAGTTCAGGAGAGCGCCCGTCTTTCCCGTTTTGAGGAGTGACAAGAACAAACCACATCAGTAACCGTACATGTGCCACTTATGCACAAAATCTATAAATAAATTCAAAACGTCCTTTTTTTGAAACAGAAACCTGCTCACAGGTTTTAGATTTACATCTGGAAACAGAAACAAAATACAACACATTTTCTATTTTCAGGGAGAAAAAAACCAAAGTTTTATTTTAAATCTTCTATTTTTGTCATTCTGCAGTCTAAGGAGGAGGAACCGGCCCGCAGCATCACAGATCCTCCTCTGTACCAAACAGTGAGTCTGTGATGTTTCCCCACACCAGACAAACCTCTGCTGTCTTGAAGAGTAACACAATATTTACACCCCAGGGAAACAGGAAGTTCCTAATTAAGTTCCTAGAAATGACAAAATGCTTCTTTTCACACTTGAGCGATTTTACTTTGACTATAAAAAAGTCCCAGATGTTCCAACGTAAGAAGAGACGCAAAATGATCAACGTTGGCGGAAAATTAGAGAAGTTTCAGCTCCATCAGGGCTATTTTATCAGCACTCTGTTAAATAAAAACATTAAAAAATAAAGACATGTTTTAAAAAGCAGGATTATTTCTTCACCTTTGATGTTATTTCTGCATTTGAATTATTTTAGCGTCAGACTGCAGCTGCAATAAGAAGAGACATTTAATGAACACATTTATATTTGCACGTCTTTATCCGGGTTGCTGCTGTGAAGTGCGGATGGATTTAAATTTAAACCAGCATGACGGATGCAGACAGAAACGTTTGTGGGGGATAAAAACAGGTTTTTCATTTTGCATGTAACCAGGAAACGTCCAAAAGTTCATTCAAATCTCCAGATTTTATCGAAAGAGGATCAGAAATGTCTTCAGTTTTTACACAAAGAAGCGAATTTAAGCTTGAATGTGTTTTATTTCTGTTAACAGCTGATAAGAAGATTTTAGTTCTGCTGTTTTTATTCTTATCGATCTTTAAAAGTTGTTTCAGTTTCTTGGATTTGATGCAAATATCCGTCTTTCTATGTTTGTTAAAACAACGTTGACTTAATTCTCCAGTAAATAAAGTTTGCATGAATGTTTCTTCTCAGATTTTTACTGCTTCCTGCTGATGTTTTATTTTTAAACTCTTTATAGATGAGAAATATCAGAGATCAGGAAACTGAACAAATGTTTCACTTTTTCATGTGAGAGAAATAATCTGTTCTGGTTTGTTTTTGTTGTCACAATTACGTTAATTTAAAAGTCAAACCAAAGATTAATTTTTACGCAACTATTCTTTGAAGGTAAACAGCTAAACCAACCTGCAAGAAACAGCAATTTCCTCCCTTGATAAACCATTTTTAGTAAGAAGGTTTTGGCTTCTTACTAAAAAATGGTTTAAGTAAATCAAATGACTTAAACAGGACCTTCCTGGCAACATGAAGTAGGCTAGAAGAGCTGAAAAAGCAACAGCCTCTAATTTAAACATAATGAAGCAAAATGATTGGATGGATCCGTCTAGTAAGAACTACAGAGACATTTTATGGTTTTTGGTCTCCAGAAAACCACAGAGAAAAGACGGAACAATGGAAAACCTTCACAAGAGAGACTGATGAACCAACGATAACATGAAGTTCTGACCCAAAACAACACAAAAACAAAACCAGCATTTACTAAAAAACATCAAAACTTTGGGGAAATATTCATCTGGTGTAAAACTAACAGCAGAAACA